TAGGGGTCGGTGTAGCCGGTGACGGCGCGCTCCGCGGACAGCAGCTTCTCCCGGATCTCGCCGCCCACCACGCCCGCGGCCACCGCCTCCTCCACCGTCAGCCTCTGGTTGCGCACGGGGTCGATGACGAAGCCCGTGGCCGCCTGTGCCTCCAGCAGCACCAGGGCCGTGCCGGGCCGCAGGACGCCCTTCCACATGGCCTGGTAGATGCTCATCTTCTCCTGCCGCCCGGGCTCGTCCTTGGCGGGCACCAGCACGCCCGCGATGCAGCTCGTGCCCTGCAGGTAGCGCTTGACCGAGTCCATCTCCGTCACCTCCTGCGGCGTCCTGGTGCCCTGGGCCAGGTCCCGCAGGGTCTCGGGGCCCAGGATCCCGGACGTGTGCAGCTCGGAGGCGGACACGCGGCGCCTCAGGCCCTGGAAGGACACCTTGCTCAGCCGCTCCTCCGCCTCCTCGATGGCCTGGGTGAGGACGGCGACCAGGGCCGGCACGGCCAGGGCGCCGGCCGCGTGCTGGGCCAGGAGCTCGTCCCGGCGGGCCCGGCTCAGGTAGGAGGAGAAGAGGACGTCCCACACGGAGGGCCGCCGCCCCCGGAACTGGCCGACGTGCACCTCCATGGTGATGGCACGCAGGGCCTGCTCCTGGGGGCCGCCGGCGGTGGGCTCGGCGGGGGCCTGGCCCGGGGAGGGCCCCACGTCGCCATCCCCGCCACCTCGCCCGGCTGGCCGGCCCTCCTGCGGGCCGCGGGCAGCCTCCTCCGGCCCGCGATCGGGCCCGCCGGCCGCCTCCGCCTCCTCGATGATGGTGGTCAGCCTGCGGGTCAGCGCCGGCAAGCCCAGCGTCCCCGAGCCGAAGCCGGCCAGCAGCTGCTCCCGCGTGGCGCCGCTCACGTAGCTGGACGCCAGCACGTCCCACACGGGCACCGCCGGCCCCCGCAGGCGGCCCACCTTGACCTCCATGGTGGCGGCACGCAGGGCCCCGCGGGGGTCCGGGGGAACCGGGCTGGGGCTCCCGCTCCCGTCGGCGCTGGCACGGGCCAGCAGCGAGGTGAGGGCAGCGCCCACCTCCTGCACGGTCAGCGCGCCCGCCCCGTACCGGCACAGCAGGTCCTGCCGCAGGCCCTCGGGCACCTCCCGGTAGAACAGGAGCTCCCAGATGGAGACGCTCTGGCCCTGGAGCACGCCGTGGCCCGGCGCCACGCGGGCGTCACGCAGGGCGCCGCGCAGCTCCTCGCTCAGCTGGTGCACGGCGGAGCCCCGGCCGGCCAGCTGCAGCATGTAGAGCCCCGTGTCGGGGTCGAGCACGCAGCGACGCAGCAGCTGCACGTACGTGAGGTTCTCGTGCGTGTTGGGGTCGAAGAAGCCCTTGGTGTCGTCGCTCGGGTCCGCCAGGACGCGGTTCATGTCCTCGTCAAAGTAGCCGCGCCGGTAGGCCACGTCCACGGGCAGCCGGTGGCTGTGCACGGGGTCGATGATGCCACCTGTGGCGATCTGCGCCTCCAGCAGGCGGAGGCCGTGGTCGCGGACGATGAGGTCCTTCTGCATGGCCTGGAAGAGGGAGATCTGCTCCCCCGTGTAGGGGTCGGTGTAGCCGGTGACGGCGCGCTCCGCGGACAGCAGCTT